CCAGCGAGCCCGGATTGTTCAGCCTGGGGCTGCGAACCGGCGAGGTGCGCACGGCCAGACCTTTGGGCGACAGGGACGCGGCCCGCCAGCGCCTCCTGGTGGCCGTGCGGGACGGGGGACAGCCACCCCTCTCAGCCACCGCCACGCTGCTCCTGGTCTTTGCTGACAGCCTACAAGAGGCCCTTCCGGATCTCAGCGAACGTCCTAAGCCCTCTGACCCTCAGGCTGAGCTGCAGTTTTATCTGGTAGTGGCCCTGGCCTTGATCTCAGTGCTCTTCCTCCTGTCCATCATTCTGGCGATTGCCCTGCACCTTCGTCGCTCCTCCAGTCCCTCCGTTTGGGGTTGCTTTCAACCTGGTTTCTGCTCCAAGTCTGGACCTGTGGTTCCCCCCAACTACAGTGAGGGAACATTGCCCTATTCCTACAATCTGTGCGTTGCCCAAGCTGGAAAGACAGAGTTTAATTTCTTAAAATGTACTGAGCCCTTGCATTCCGCTCAAGACATAGTTTGTGGTGATTCTTCTGGGCCCTTAATTCCACTTCAGAGTGGGAATGATTTGACTTCACATCCTGAGACCCTAACACCGGTGAGTTTCATTTCTGTGTCTTCAGTAATATTCTACTAGTTTCTCATATTTCAGGTGTACTACTTCATTTTTATATCTAGAATAATTTTTAGAAAATCCATAACTAATCACCATCTTGTCTTCTCAGTGTTCACTTTAGCTGATTATATTTTTCAAGATTATTTACTTGGTTCAGAAGTTGCTCTATAATTTAAAAAGAATGTTACTCAATTAGAGATATCTTTTCAAGCTGAGATTAGCAAAACAGAGACAGTGGTCTTGGCTTCTTACCAAATAAATACATAATAACCTATCCAAATCTGCTAAGATTTAAGATAAAATTTCTATATCCTACTTATATGTTTTTAAAGTTTAATAATATTCAAGCACTCGTTATCTATCAAAGCATGTGCTCCTTCCAAAAGAACATTTATTGCATACAATCTTATAGGTGTTTTTAGATTTCTTTTTTCACTATTTTAAAAATTTATAAAACTGTAAGCATTTGAGAGGTATGGTGAGCAGATCCATGAATTCCTGAGATAATATGCGAAGTTATAGATGTATGATGTATTTTTCTTGGGAGAGGTGTCAAAATTTTTTTTCCATTGCCAAGGTTTCTATGGTCCCCAAAACTTAATACTAACTACCCTGGCTGAATTTTTTTCTTCAACTTTGGTCCTTCTGGTTTTCTTCTTATATTTGTTTGTCTTTTCTTGGAGCTCCAGTTGTACTCTTTTCCAATCTTCTTTCCACTCCATTGCAAGATCAAGAATTTCCAAGAAAGCAAATGAAATGCTCTTGCCTTTTGTGTTCAGACTCTGTCTTGGATTGTCTGGTACACAAATCTTTGAAGACTAAAGATAAAATCTTTAATGACTAAATATAAAATCTATGAAGAGTTACATATGTGGGACATAGTGACATAAACACTTCTGAACACATGTTCTCTGTATGAAAGAAGTGAACCTCTAAGCCCTTCACCTTTGAAGGGAGAACTGCTGTTGGGTTGATGGGCACATACAATTGGGAAAGTATGTGTAGCACTTTACTTTGGGCTTCCATACAAAATGTTAAAAGAAGAGAATATTTAAATTGGCAGCAGTGCCCTGATGAAAACAGGCCATTTGACATAAGCACTTATTTTTTAAACACCTACATCACTATTTCTAAGTTTGTTTTTGAAAATTGTAGCACTTGAAACTCCTGTACATATATCTCTTCCAATTATAATACAGACATGTTCCCCTTAGTTTTTTATTACCTTCTCAACTTATTTAAATAGATCAAACCCACTTCTAATAATGTATACCCCAAATAAGATACATTAAAAAGATTAATTGAGGCTCAATAAAACTGCTTTAGAAAACAACATTTTGAAAACCTTTTATACAATCCTAACACTAAACAAACTTAATTAGTTAATTAAATCTAAAATAAAAAGATTTTAAGTGAATTGTTAGGGGCATATCTTAGAGTTTCTATATGAATGTCTAAACAATTGGATTGTTTAAATCTAAATTTAAAATAAAATTGTGAGACTTCTGAATATTTTTAGAAGCTCATATGAAATAAAATAAGCATTACTTACCTCTGGATATATTTCTGTTGAGAAAATAAGTGTTGAGATACATATTTAACGAACTATTTTCACTTCGCATTTTATAGTACTTTCATTCCAGTTTATTCTATCCAGTAAAGAAAGCTACTAATAGTTTATTTAATGATATCAGCCAAGAAATCAAAGAAGTAATGTAAAATAAAATAAAATCTCCAACAAAGAGTAGCGTTTGTTTTTTATGGTATACATAGCGGGTGCAGTAACTTCTGAGGACTCTGGGCGCCGCTGTTCACCTACTAGGAAAGAATCGCAGCCAGCGCTCCATCCGGATTCTCGGGGCTCCAACTACACAAAAGCTCCACAGTTCCTACAAACCGGCTCCGGGGCTGCAGCGACACTCACTCTAGAATTTAGGGTGCTCAGCCTACAGAGACTCCTTGCAGCCAGAGGAAGAAAAAGGGACCGGTCAAAACACGCAACGTGTCCAGTGAGGACATTGCCAGAATTCCGTGACCAAACAACAATGGCCGCTCAAAGGAATAGCTCCGACCGCTGCGCGCTGGTTCTGCTCTGCCTTTTCCTCGGTGCGCCGTGGGAGTCTGAAGCCCGGCAGATCCGCTACTCGGTGCCTGAGGAGCTGGACAAAGGCTCCTTCGTGGGCAACATCTCCAAGGATCTGGGACTGGAGCCCCGGGAGCTGGCGGAGCGCGGAGTCCGCATCGTCTCCAGAGGTAGGACGCAGCTTTTTGCTCTGAATCCGCGGAGTGGCAGCTTGGTCACGGCGGGCAGGATAGACCGGGAGGAGCTCTGCGCTCAGAGCGCGCGGTGTCTGGTGAGTTTTAACATTCTTGTGGAAGATAGGGTGAAACTTTTCGGGATAGAAATAGAAGTAACTGATATCAACGATAATGCCCCCAAATTCCAAGCGGAAAATCTAGACGTAAAAATCAATGAAAATGTCGCTGCAGGGATGCGTTTTCCTCTCCCGGAAGCTGTTGATCCGGATGTGGGCGTGAACTCCCTACAGAGCTACCAGCTCAGCCCTAGTAGGCACTTCTCTCTAGCAGTTCAGAGCCGTGCCAATGGTGTCAAGTACCCGGAGCTGGTGCTGGAGCGCGCCCTGGATCGGGAGGAAGAGGCACAGCACCACCTGGTCCTCACTGCCTCCGACGGGGGTGACCCTCTCCGATCTGGCACTGTCCTCATCAGTGTCACTGTCTTCGATACAAACGACAACGCACCTGTCTTCACTTTGCCTGAATACCGAGTGAGTGTTCCGGAGAACTTGCCTGTGGGCACACAGCTGCTGACAGTCACTGCTACCGACAGGGATGAAGGAGCCAATGGAGAAGTGACATATTCATTCCGAAAATTACCTGATACACAATTACTGAAATTCCAACTAAACAAAAATACTGGAGAAATAAAAATATCAGACAATCTAGATTATGAAGAAACAGGCTTCTATGAAATAGAAATACAAGCAGAAGATGGAGGAGCATATCTTGCAACTGCCAAAGTGTTGATTACAGTAGAAGATGTAAATGACAACAGTCCAGAAGTGACCATCACATCTCTGTTTAGTCCCCTGAAGGAAGATTCACCCCTGGGGACTGTTATAGCTCTTTTAAACGTGCACGATCTAGACTCTGGGCAGAATGGACAGGTCACCTGCTCCATAGCAGGAAATCTACCATTTAAGTTAGAAAAGTCCATTGACAGTTACTATAGATTGGTGACACATGGGGCTCTTGACAGGGAGCAGGTATCCTCTTACAATATTACTGTGACAGCCACAGATGGAGGAAGTCCACCCCTGTCGATGGAAACTCACTTCACCCTGCAGGTGGCAGATATCAATGACAATCCACCCACCTTCTCTCACATATCCTACATTACCTATATCCCAGAGAACAACCCAAGAGGTGCCTCCATCTTTTCAGTGACTGCACTAGACCCTGACAGCAAAGAGAATGCTCAGATTATTTACTCTCTAACTGAAGACACTATCCAGGGGGCACCTCTATCTTCCTATATCTCCATCAACTCTGACACAGGAGTCCTGTATGCACTTCGCTCCTTTGACTATGAGCAGTTTCGTGACCTACAGATGCAGGTAACTGCCACAGATAGTGGTAACCCACCACTCAGCAGCAATGTGTCTCTAAGTCTATTTGTGTTGGACCAGAATGACAATGCTCCAGAGATCCTGTACCCCTCTCTTCCCACCGATGGTTCCACTGGTGTGGAATTGGCACCCCGCTCTGCAGAGCCTGGTTATCTGGTGACTAAGGTGGTGGCAGTGGACAGAGACTCAGGCCAGAACGCCTGGCTGTCCTACCGCCTGCTGAAGGCCAGCGAGCCAGGGCTCTTCGCGGTGGGGCTGCACACGGGAGAGGTGCGCACTGCACGGGCCCTGCTGGATAGAGACGCCCTCAAGCAGAGCCTGGTGGTGGCAGTTCAGGACCATGGCCAGCCCCCTCTCTCCGCAACTGTCACACTTACTGTGGCCGTCGCTGACAGCATCCCAGATGTCCTGGCCGACCTGGAAAGTCTTGAGCCTTCCAACAACCCTGACCACTCCAGCCTCACGCTGTACCTGGTGGTGGCAGTGGCTGCTGTCTCCTGTGTCTTCCTTGCCTTTGTCATCATGTTGCTGGCGCTCAGAATACGCCGCTGGCACACATCTCGTCTGCTCCAGGCTTCAAGAGGCGGGTTGGAGGGCGTGCCCGCCTCGCAATTTGTGGGCGTGGATGGGGTGCGGGCCTTCCTGCAGACCTATTCCCATGAGGTCTCCCTCACTGCTGACTCACGGAAGAGTCATCTGATCTTTCCTCAGCCCAACTATGCAGACACGCTCATCAGCCAGGAGAGCTGCGAGAAAAAGGATCCTTTGTCTTTGTTAGATGATTCGAAGTTTCCTATAGAAGATACCCCTTTGGTTCCAGTGAGTTCTATTTTTACTCCTTTCCTTTCATTTAAAAAATTATGATTGGTTTTGTTTTTAGGTTTGCAGCATATCGATGGGAATTTTTAATCTTTATTCTTTCATATTATCCATTTCGATTTGCTTCTTGCTAAAATATTCCAGAGTAGAACTTGTCAGTTATTAAGACTATGGCTTTACTTTCTGATAAACATATATGTAATGGCAATGAAGATCTATCATCTTAAGATTGTTACCATTAGTTTTGCAGAGCCTTATATTTTATAGTTTTGTGTGCTGTCCTTTGGTCAGATGCTGAAATCCTAGCTCTGATTTTGAAGGCAAGTCTGGTAAACATAGGTAAATGTCTGAAACAAATGCATTGACATCACTGGAAACATAACTCAAACACAAGGCCACTCATTTCCTTCCCAAGGAGAAGGGCAGAAGTACACCTTTGTGGTTATATTCTTTAAACTATACCTTGTAATGACAATCACAATTGAATTTACTTCCTAGAGATTTAGATTTTTCATCAGTATTTTATAAGAAATCATAACAATGTGTGCTTAAATTTTCCCAAGTGCAATCATATCTGGTAACATTGCAACATCTTTTTTTGCCTGAGATTCTAATTTCATACCATAGTGTGGAAGACATAGCATTTTAATTTGACTTTCCTTGCTCAATCAGGTTTCTAGAAAACATATAGAAGGTTAAATTATGCACATTTTAAGTTCTTCTCTCTCTGTATTATTTTTTTGGTTAAAGTCTCCAATCTCTGAGGCTGAAAAATATATAGAGATTGGGGAGACAGATGGGTTGTACATGTTCCCAGGGGATGTGTGCCAAGAGTATTTCAGTAGCTCCTGAATGTAGTGGAAGAAAGAACCACCTGAAACTCTGAAATTGAGCAAAAATAAATTTAAAGTTAAAAAAATGTTATTTCTGTAGGATATCTGATCCGAATATAAGCAGAGAAGTACACAAAATGATCCTAAGCAAATTATCAGTGGAGTTACTGATGAACCTATTTGGGTTATTGAAAATAGTGATGTATTGGTTTGATCTCTTACGTTTATTACTAATATTCTTCTAAATTAATGTGTTAGCATAAAGGCAAAGAGTGTCCTAATATATGTCAATATACTTATGAAAACATTACTTTTTTCATGTCATTCAACATTTATTCAATGATAGGTGTGTGGAAGGAGAACACAGGATGAAAAATCTAAAACTTTTGGGTCATAGTTATTAACCTTTAAATCATTGAAACTGTCACTTAAAATTTCTGTCCATGAGAGTCAAAATTATTATGCAGCCATCTCAAATAATTCTTTTATCTTGAAAAATACTGATTTTTAAAATAACTACTTTGACATGGTAACTATTGTAAGAAATGTTTTTAAATATAATTACTTAAACACAGGACACTTCATATTATTGTAATCAACATGGCAATGATTGCGTACTAGTTACTAAATATGGAGGGATGGATTAATACTTCCTAGCGAATATAAACTAGGATCGAAGACAAAAAAATGTGGGGTTTTTGCTTATCTTCAGTATTTGCCTTTGTAAATAATTTACTCTTAAAAGGAAAAACAATGATTGCCTCTGGATGGAAGAACTGGATAACAGTAGACCATGAGATAGAGACCTACTTTTCACTTTACAATCTTTTGTTGACTTTTGAAAGAAATACTTTTATCTTTTTACATTTATGTAAATTTTTAAAATATAAAAATACATAGTTTTGACTATGGGAAAAGCATGTTTCATGATGAAAACGGAATCACTGAGGAATAAGAGTCAAATATTTTAGCTCCTAACATTGAAAGAAAAAGATTTCCTGAAATGGAGAAAACTTAGGCTGCGGTTCCACACGGGGCCTCTGGGCGCCGCTGTCGGCCAGTGCAGGGCAAGCGCCGACGCCCGGGAATCCTCAGCCTCTAGCCTAGAATTTCCTGTGCAGCCACCAACACAGAAGGAAACCCGTTCATACACTAGGGCTCCGAGTTGTGCAGACTCTCCGAGCACAAGCGGATTCCCAGCCCCAAGACTGGGGACTCCGCCTGTCCTGGGCTGAATGGTTTTCCAGCGTGATAGTGTGCACTTTCTCCAACTGGGAAGACTGGGACCCAGCGAGAACTAGAGCGCGCGATGGGAGGGAGCTGCGCACAGAGACGCGGAGCGGGCCGACTGCAGGTATTGTTTCCCTTCCTGCTGCCTTTGTTCTACCGCGCACTCTGTGAGCCGATCCGCTACTCGATTCCTGAGGAGTTGGCCAAAGGCTCGGTGGTGGGGAATCTCGCCAAAGATCTAGAGCTCAGTGTCTTGGATGTGTCCTCTAGGAAGCTGCGAGTTAGCGCGGAGAAGCTGCTTTTCAGTATAGACAGGGAGAGCGGGGACTTGCTGGTGAAGGACCGAATAGACCGCGAGCAGATTTGCGGGGAGAGAAGAAGATGTGAGTTGCAGTTGGAAGCCGTGGTGGAAAATCCCTTAAACATTTTCCATATCATTGTGGTTGTTGAGGATATTAATGACCATGCCCCTCAATTCCATAAAGATGAAATAAACTTAGAAATCAGTGAATCTGTCAGCCCAGGAACGGGAACAATTCTTGACTCTGCAAAAGATCCTGACATTAATATGAATTCACTGAGCAAATACCAACTAAGTCCTAATGAATATTTCTCATTGGTGGTGAAAGACAATCCCGATGGTGGCAAATATCCAGAATTAATATTGAAGAAGACCCTGGACCGAGAAATGCAGAGCTCTCACCACTTGGTACTAACAGCCTTGGATGGTGGGGATCCGCCCCAGAGCGGCACTGCTCAGATCCGAATCCTGGTGGTGGATGCCAATGATAACCCCCCTGTGTTCAGCCAAAGTGTGTACAGGGTCAGCATTCCGGAAGATGTGCCCCCAGGCACCTCTGTGCTGAAGGTGAGCGCCACTGACCAAGACGAAGGCTTCAACGCAGAGGTCACCTACTCCTTCCTTGGTGTGACTGATAAAGCCCAGCACGTGTTCTCTCTGGATTCTGCAACAGGAAACATTGTAACTCACCAGCCCTTGGATTTTGAAGAAGTAGAAAGATACGTAATGGATGTAGAAGCAAAGGACCGAGGATCTCTCTCTACACGGTGCAAAGTAATTATAGAAGTTTTAGATGAAAACGACAACAGCCCGGAAATAATCATCACGTCTCTCTCTGATCACATTTTGGAGGATTCCCGTCCAGGAATGGTTGTGGCCCTCTTCAAAACAAGGGACTGGGATTCCGGTGAAAATGGAAAAGTCACGTGTAATTTAAGTAGAAACGTTCCATTCAAGATTCATTCTTCTTCTAATAATTACTACAAGCTGGTAACAGATGGGGACCTGGACCGAGAACTGACCCCGGAGTACAATGTCACCATCACAGCCACCGACAGGGGCAAGCCGCCCCTCTCCTCCAGCACCACCATCACCCTGCACGTCACCGACGTCAACGACAACGCCCCGGTTTTCCAGCAGTCAGCCTACCTGGTCCACGTGCCAGAAAACAACCCGCCCGGGGCCTCCATCGCGCAGGTCAGCGCCTCCGACCCCGACCTGGGACCCAACGGCCAGGTGTCCTACTCCATCGTGGCCAGCGACCTGGAGCCACGGGCGCTGTCGTCCTACGTGTCCGTGAGCGCGCACAGCGGGGTGGTGTTCGCGCAGCGCGCCTTCGACCACGAGCAGCTGCGCGCCTTTGAGCTGACGCTGCAGGCCCG